TGAAAATAAAATCCAAACTTCTTAAGGGAGATAATTGGCTTTCTGCCTCTTTTCATAGTACTCTACATTCTAGCCTCCTAGACTTTCTTTTTGTGCCTCCTGAAATGCCCAGCTCTTTCCTGTCTGTCTTTTGGGACTATAGTTTCTGCCCTGTAGTTCACTTCCCCAGATTGTTCAGATGGCTGGCTTCTTATCCTCTGGACCAGACACATCCCCTGTTTATTTACTCCATGGCTCTGAATCTTTGTTTACTTGTATGTCTTCCTTACCAGAATAAACTCCATGAGAGCAGGACAGTTAGATGCTCAACAGATTTATTAAAGGAAGGTAAGGAGAAGGTGGGGAAGAGGAGAGGCTCTAAGGAATCTGAGCATTTCTGACAGAGAGGAAGCCACCATCAAGGAGGTTCCCTTTGGAAAATAGGGATCTTATGATAAAGATTTCTGAGAGCGGCAAGAAGGGCAAAGGCAAAGCTCTTCCTGAGTGGGCAGCTTTGAAGAAAGGACATATAGTGAATACATGTTTTTGTCTGCCCAGTACCCCATCTTCTTTCTTAGTAATTATCCCCAACTGAACATATGACCTAAGTCGGATCAATTATAGTACCTCGCTCCCTTTCTAAGGCAGTGGTTTTCAAACTTCTATGTGCATCAGATCCACCTGGAGAGCTTATTAAAATTCAGATTGCTCAGCCTCACCGCTACAGTCTGGGTGGGGTCTGATAATTTGCATTCCTAACAAATTCCTTGATGATCTGATGCTGATCTGGGGAACCGCTGGTCTAAGGGATGGACATTTGAGCCAAGACAGACTAATCAGAATCCATATCTGGGATTTTTCATACAGGAGGTAGGAAAAGAAGCCCTTTTCTTCTGATCACAGAGCTGTAAGGATGTGAGGTCTGAGCTGCCATGTACCCTTGCCATGCAGAGAAGCCAGTTCAAGAGAATAGCTCTAACACGGGAGCAAAGCCAAGAGGTGGAGAAGCCCTAATTAAGGCACTAAAGCCCTTGATTTGATCATCCCCCAGGCCAAACCCACCACTGCCTTCCCACAATAAAGGGCCAGTAAATTCACCTAATTAATATACTAAGGGATGAGCTATGCTTTCTATTTATCCTCAGCAACCCTGTGAAGCAGTTGGCATTAGCACCATTTTACAGAAGAGTACACTGACTCTCAAAGCAGTGAAGTACTTCCAACTAAATTTGAATCCAGTCTGTGCTTTTATCCACTACCCCATGTAATTAATAGAACTTAAAGCTGGTATTTTCAGTAGATCAGGCTTTTATCTTACTATGAATTTGCTCACAACCTCTCTTCCATAGATAGTTGTCTGAAAGTCAACTCTAGTCCAGGGGAACAGACTTCGGGCCCATGGACCACTTTGACCCACAGATGTGATGTTTGGCCAGCCAGCACTCAAGTGCTTAAACAAAATTCTTTGAGTGCCTTTAGCATGATATGCTTCCCAGTTTGCCAATGTTCCTACCTCTTATTGTCTTATACCAAACCTCTTCTAGCTTGCTACCCCTCAGGCCTCCCTGCAGGCCTGAGCCTCTGCATCTGTTCAGGCTTCACTTCCCATCTCGGGAGTACCTGACTGGAACTCTACCTACCAATCTGGGGATTAGATCATGCCTTTTCCTCCAACAGCCCTGGATGATTTTATGAGCAAATACTGTTGCTTAAAGGTTGCCTTTTTTCTTTTGGCTTTGTCCAACTTAGACCCTATCCCTACCTCATGATGCCAAGTGGCTGGGGGAACCGTGCCACACAGACACATGCTCCATGTGTTCCTAGCCAAGGATTTCTAGTGTTTTGAGTTATTAGCCCGTAACTTTTCCATCCCTAACAGAGGCCCAAGAGTGAATATAAGTTAGATCCAACTTTAAACTGATAATTCTACAGCTTGACCAGCAGTTTAGCAAAGCACCGCCTTTAAGAGTTCAACTGCCTGGCTTCAAATCTTTCTGCTACATAACAGCTGTGTGATCTTAGGCAAGTTATGTAACCTGTGTCTCAGTTTTCTCAACTGTAAAATGGCAGTAACAGTCCCTACTTCATAGGGTGGTTATGAGGACTAGATACATGTAAAGTACTTAGAATAGCAATTGGTAAATAGTGAGCACTTAATATTAGCTATTATTCTTCCACCCAGAGCATACGGTGTCTGGTGTTCTGAAGTGTTTGTTAATCATATGAAGAAAAACAATCCAGTCCAGTCATTTGTGAGGTGTTAGCTGTGATGTGTCTGATGATCAACTTTTAGAAGTCCATAGCGATCTTCAGTAATTGTATGTCTTCTCAAAGGAAGGGCTCTATTACATTTCGTCGCTTAACAGTTGACTTATACAGTAGAAGCAATTCATAGATTGCCCATTTAGAAATGGATTTTTCAAGCCCCTAAACGTGGCTCCTTGTTTGTGGACTTAACCTGTTGGGCAGTAATGAACTTTGCATAGATTTCAAAGTTGCTGTGCTAACCCAAACAGAAAGGCACCTTCCACCCTTGGAACGCTGCATCTGAGGGCAGGGATGTGAAGTTTTTATTTGCTGCTTGGTTTTTGGAATCCAGGCACCTTTCATTTATTATTGAATTAATGTGATGTGGTAAGGACATAAGGAAACAGTTGTTGAAAAGGCACACTGTTAGGCTTTAAATTTGAAGCAAACAAGAAGACTGTTGTCCACCCCATCATCTTAGAAGTACACTTGGGAGTAACTCGGGAGAAACATGTCTTTGGATTTTATTCCCTTGTTGAATGATTCTAGCATTCAGCAGGCTGCGGCTTTCGGAAAACCTGGCGCCATTCTTCAGTTGCTGGGAATCTCCCACCTGGACCTCAGCCAACTCTTGGATTGGCGTTGGCCTTTTAGGGTCCTGGTTTTGTGGTCAGGTCATAGCTTTTTGCTGTGAATGACGATAGCTGTCTTGGAAAAACTCCCATTCTGACTTGAGAGATAAGGAATAGGGCATCCTGCCAACACGTGGGAGAGCTGATAGGGACCAGCACACTGCTGGAAGCCGGCATGCCAGTCCAAGGGCCTGCTACCAGCGAGAGGCAGACGCAGACTTTCTGTTTCCAGGGGCCTGTTCAGATCATGTTACACAGTTGCTACTTCCTAACAACTGAGTTCCTCTGTGGGGCACAGGATTTAGACTTTTCCCAAATGAGGAGTATTTGCTCTCCAGGTCTCCTGGGCTACTGTAGAGGCCCCTAATTGAGGAAGCCTATCATTTCCACTTGAGTTGCTTGGGGATATAGGGCTTTGGCAAAAGGTAGGGGTGGTATATATCTGTTGCCTCATTTTGGAGATGAAAACTGAGAAACAGATTCTAACTTGACCGAAGTTAGATTCAGAACTGTTGACAGCAAGAAAGAGCCTTAATCTAGTCCAAATTACTAATTTTTAGAGGGTCCATGACTTTTCCAAGGTCACTCCAAAAATCAGTAGCAAAGCAGGGACTAGAATTCAGGTCTCCTTATTTCCAGGCCAAAACTCTCCACCTGATCAGCTGCCTCTCTCGGGGCAGATGTGCTGGAAAGGTCTGCCCTATTAGAGAGAAGCAACGACCAAAAATTGTTCACAGAAGACACAATGAGAAGCCCGTGACAGAATTTTCACCTTCAAAAGCCTCTGCACAAGGATATGGTATCAGACACCCAAAGTTTCCACCCTCCTTCACATCCATGTTTTTGATAGACTATCTCAAGCTGCAGGTGGGATCAAGGAGGCAAAACCCACGGATTTCTCTTATCAGCCAGACTGCAGCCAAGGTAAAGGTGACTAGGCTAATTAATGAAGCCCAGCAGGAAATTAGCAACAACAAACACTGACAAGGAAACCACCCTGGCATAAAATTTTAAAAATAAAAGCAAAAACACGTACAATGAATAAAAGGTTTTTTGAACTGCAATTTTGCAAATTATATCTTTGGTATCCTGTGACCAGGGCTGCTTTGACACAGCAGTAGGAAGCTTCTAATATGGAGGAGCCACAAAAGGCCCCCCTCATTCAGCAGGCTGGCTCCAGTTCACCCCATTCACCCTGCCCTGCCCAACAACCTAGGAGCAGGCTGGTCTTCCAGCATCCAGGCTTTGGTAGAGAGAGAGCTTGCAAAGGGCTCACTCTCTATGGAGAGCATTCTCTCGTCTGGTTCTAACAAAATGAGAAATTTTTTTGTCATAGCATTTCTGCTTTGACAGTACTCAGTGCAAAAGTAAGGGTTAGATGCGAGTTTTCTGCTTTTTTTCCTACTGAGAATATGCGTTACCTAAAACCCATGACTTCATTCAGTATCAGTCACAGGAGGCTGGTTAACTGTATATTAATAGATTAACCCACCCAGCCCCTGGCAAATGTTCAGAAGAGTTTGCTAAATACAGCAATGCTGGAAGACTGGGAAAGCTGTCTGTGGTTCTTCCCTTACAGAAATTGCATTCATGTAGATGAGGAGTCATATTTTCATAGATGAATCTTTTTACTGTGTACAATTTTCCTCCAGGGAAACAGTTAAATTGAAGTATGCTGTCATTAGATCGTGAATGGTGGAAATTGGTGGTGGTCACTGAACTTGAGTTCTCACTTGAACAGTCCCAGAGGCTGCAAATTCAGATACTTTTAGGGGCCAGAAAGGTAGGGTGTGTTTGAAGCAGCCTCTACTCTGCTGCAACTGATTGTTGGCTCATGGGAATAAGGCCCAATGTTGCCAGATCATTTTTTTTAAGTAAGAGGCCAGAAACCATATTTATTTGTGAAATCTCCCAATTTTTAAATGTTAATAACTTATTCTAAAAATTTTAAAACATCATGTTGTCTAAATAAAACATACATGGGCCATATGGCTTCTGCTCCAGACTTTCTGCCCTGCCCAGGAATTCAAGCAACACATATTTTACGGAAATAGATGTTGCATGATCTCTTAAGTGTGTGAGTTTTATTACTTAAATATTTCTTTTATCTTAACTGAAAAATCTAAGACACATACAACAAGCCAAGAATAACTATTCTACTTCTAAGAAAAATGCTGCCAGTAAATAAATGTACCTCAGACTGAAGTACAGAAGATTTTTACGTTTCATAAATTACTCCCAGTGGTCCAGTTTGGCATACAGTGAAACCTCCCCACCCCGAACTTCTTGACTTTGGCATAGAAAGGGCCCCTTCCATCAGGCCTGGGCATCCCCATTCCTTACCGGTGGAGACTGATTTTTCTACAGATGGACTCAAATGAAAATTATCTCACTAAAAAGACATGTTTGATTTTCTTAAATTGGAAAGTTACAAAGGGAGTGACAATGAAGTGCAAGAAGTAAAGTAGTGGGTGTCTGTGTGCGACCTCTATGCCGGACCCCAAAAGCCTCAACGCCTGAGGTGCAGACCCTCCTGACAGGAAGGGTCCTCTCAGCCCGGAAGCTGAGACCTTGTTGAAGTCTGAACAGCAGTCTGGCCTTTGGCATCATATAGATTTACCTCTAGATCAGTATGGGTTAAAACAAAGATTTACAGGTGGTTGGTTGTTGGTCTTTTTTTTTTCTTAAAAGCAAACTATGATCCCATCAATGTATTTCTAAGGAAAATGTAAACTGTTCATACATTCTGTTAAACATCACAGTGAAAAACAAGTACCCGTATGTGTGATAGGGCAGGCGGAGGGTCCACCTGCTCTGTCCTTGGCAAAGGCCCTTGGTCACACTGGTGACAATGCCAGCTTCGCTGCTGCACGGATACCTATGTCGTGCCATCCCATTGGAGCACCAGTGGACCCCAAAGGCAGGGCAGGGCAGGGCAGGGCAGGGCAGGGGGAAGGGGGCTTTCTGAAATGTTTCCAGGAGCTCTGTCCAGCTGTCTCCGTCTTCCAGCCCGGGAGTGCTGCACCAAACTACAAGGACACTGAGGAGACCATGGATCTGTTGCCATTCTCTAGGGAAGATTTGGCTTGGAGTGTGGCTGCCTGGATTCGAAAATGTGTCCTTGACTCCATGGAGTAATTCTTGTAGTTTTGCCTGGAAGACACCAGAGAATCAGACATATGAAGCTGCTCCAGGAAGTGCTTTTCCTTCCGTCTGCGCTGTGGGAGCCCACCAGCCAAGGAAGGTTTTTATAGGCTTAAATCCCTGTCCCTGTCCAAAGAAAGAGTTGGGCCCTGGCCAATAAGGATTAGCAAAAAGGGTATGTAGCCTCTCACCCAGGTATCATACCCTCTGGAACCACTCTTGGTCCTGTTGGGTCCCCAAGCTTGAGGGAGTCGTTTCAAGTGACAGATCCCTGGGCTGGAAGGCAGGAGACGTGGGTCTTCACACCAGCCCTGCAGCTAGCTTGTGGTATGACCCTGAGTGACTCACTCCCTGCTTCTGGGATTCCAATTCCCTGTTGGTAAATTGAGGAAGAAGCCTCCCTACGCCAGGTGAGAGCTGGGTGCCCAGGGACACGACCCTGGCCTCTGGACTGCCATACTGCCCTTGCCAGCGTCCCCCCCAATGGCTGCCTGGGCTCCTCTGCCCCCAGCCAGCTGGATGAAGCTGAGCTCAGGGGCGGCAAAGGACAGACCAAGGCTACCCAAGCCTTACTTGGCAGTTTCTAAGAGTTTGACAGCCTCTTCGTTTCTGCCTTGCTCCATAAACAGCAGGGCCAGCTCCAGCAGGGCATTTGGGATCAAGTAGTGGTCATATTTAATCTTCTTTTCACTGCAGGAGAGAGGAGGACATGGCTTACGGGCTCAGCCCTCGAGATGTCCTTCAGGCTCCTCCCGAGCCTTCACAAGTGGGAGGATCCAACCCACGCCCTCACTTGAGGTTTCCTGACCTGAATTCCAATTTAGGAAGGTTCCCCCTACCTAACCCCAGAAAGGCTTAGGATCCACAGCAGAGCCTTCCAGTCCTCTGCAGCTGGGGCCCCAGCTCCCTGACAAACCTATGGCTCATGTCGTGTCCTGAGCCTACCCCTGCCTCAATCCCCAAGCCCCTTTGCCAGGTTGAATGGTTTATTAAATTGGGAACTCTCTTGTCTCAAATCTGGCCCCTCTGACCCACCCTCCGTGCTGCCCTGCAGACATCCTTTTAAAACCCAAATCTGCCCTGCCCGGTATCCTTCCTGGCTCTCTTCTGTCTACAGGATAAAGTTCAGCCTTGTAAGCAAAACATCCAGGCCCTTCTCAGTCTAGCCCCCCCTTACTTCATCTGCAACTCTTTCCCTCCATAACTTCACCCAGGCAGAGAAGGACCATTAGTGACCACTGTCACTCTGATCTCAGGTGTCTCTCCTGTGTCCAGGCATTTGCACACGCTGTACCTACTCCACTTAAAACTCCTTCTCCCTTGCTTTCTCTGCTTGATCCACTTCCCAATTTAAATAGCATCCCTGGAAAGCCTTTCCTGGTACCTCACATTAGGCTGAGGCCCCTCCTCAGGGCACCTGCTGTCTTCTCTGCTCTCCTCCAGCACAGCCCTAATTATACCAGATTGGGTTGCCCCGGCTGTCCATCTGCAACATTTGCGCTCCCCGAGGGCAAGGGCAGGGCTGCTGAATTACAAACTCCAGGGGGCACCATTCACAGGAAACTCAGTGTGGATGGACTCCTGTAGCTGGGCAATCTGGTGGCCCTGGGGGACCAGGGCTGAATGATCTGTACCCAGCAAGGGTCCTGGCACAGGGTAGACACTAGTGCACGTGTGGTGAACGGGGGTGGGCTAGGGTCAGGCACTGGAGTGCACGTGAGGGTGGAGAAGCTCTGAAAATTCCACCCAGGAGACCCGGCCCAGCAGCAGGCCATCTGCAGCAGGAGCAGCCACAGAGGCACTTACTTGGCAGGAATGCTCCTGAAACTCTCCTCGGCCTCCTGGACACGGCCCAGATATTTCAGACACAGGCCTTTCAGCAGCTTCACCAAGCACTCATCATCCACTGCATACTCGTTCTCTGGGGACAGGCAGTGAGAGGGGAGACAGGCCTATTCACTTCTGCAGAGGTACTCACAGAGCCCCTACTCTGTGCTGGGCCCTGGGGACACAGAGGGACTCACACATGGTCCCCGTCCTCAGGGAGCTCACATCTGGGAAGGAAAGACGGATACTGAGACGATGACAACACAGTGAGGTCAGGACTGACTGAAGGAAGCCCGGGGGCTGCGGGAGCCCAGAGACCTTGACCCTACCTGGGGACAGGGGACAGCTTCCTGGAGGAGCTGCCACTGGAGCCCAGTCTAGAAAAGCAAAGGATAGTTACTAGGTAGAGAAGTAAGGAAGGACATTTTTGGTAGAGGGAACCTTCAACTGTAAAGGCCTATGGTCTGACCCAGCCTGGCAGGTTCAAGGGCCTGGGGGTAATCACCTGGGCCCTTTTCCAGCATCTCTTCAGCCTTGGTGATAACCTCAAGCATCCCGTCTGTCAGTTCCGGCTGCTTCCCAATCACAGCGTAGCCATTCCAAATGTACATCATTTCCTGAGGGCAGGGGAGCAAGTCAGTCCTAGGTTTCCTCCCCAGTGGGGCCTCAGTTTCCCCATCTGTAAAATGGGCAGCTGAGATCAGAGGATCACTAAAGGCCCTTCGAGCTCTAATCTTCATGACAAGTCTCAACCTAGCCTCTGAAGCTGTGGGCTTGAGAGGATTATGGAGGAGCCTCATGACTTATTTATTACTGAGATCTCACCTTACCCCAGGGAGGAGCTAAGAGGGACCCATATCCTCGCTGTTCTGCTCTAGCTGCGAAGAGTTTTCAGCTACTTTTCTGCTCGTGATTTCCCGGGGCACTATTATGCTCTCTCCCCAACTTTCTGTGTCCAAACTCTTCCCATCCTTTGAGGACCAGGCCATGCCCCACATTCTCCAGGAAGTCCTCCCTGCTCTAGCTGACAGGGCCTCCTTCTATGTTGGAGGGACCATAATTTACTTAAGCACTTCAGGATTTACAATAGAGCTTAAGAATATGTCATCTCCTCTCCTCTTCCCCTAAAGCCTGGACTTGAGTCACCATGATGAAAACTATGAAACATATCCTGATTCCTTTTTTTGCCTTGACTGCCAGGAAGCTCAGAATATTAAACTAAATTTTCATTCATAGTAATTCTGTTAGCATTCCCTAAACTATCAAACCAGGTAATGGCTGTGAAAGTAACTTGCATACATAAAGTTCTAGAAAGACATTATTGTTATGGTTCTTGTTATTATGTTTTAGGAAGGGAATTGGAGTTTACACCAGTATTTCTCAAATTATTATATGGTCCCAAGTTAGCAAACGTTCCATTTAAAAAAAATGGTTCTGGGGCCGGCCCTGTGGCGTAGCAGTTAAGTGCGCATGCTCCGCTGCTGGCAGCCCGGGTTTGGATCCCGGGTGCGCACCGACACACCGCTTGTCAGGCCATGCTTTGACGGCATCCCACATAAAGTGGAGGAAGATTGGCATGGATGTTAGCTCAGGGCTGATTTTCCTCACAAAAAAAAAAAAAAAAAAAGGTTCTGTGGCCCAATAAGTTAGGGAAAAACCACATCTTCAAGCTTGTTGGGGACTCACCATGCAGGTTAACATATAAAGGCTCCAAGAAGGTCTACAGTATATAAACTTTGTTTAGGCCAGTCTTTCCCAAATATATTTAATCACAGAAATCATTTTAGGCATAAATAGCATTTTGCAGATTATAGTTTGGGAAATTCTCCCCTAAATTGTTGGTATAGTTGCTTCCCCTGCTCTTTCTTGCAACATCCCACCCACCCCCATTTTGACAATAATAGCTTTACAGTATATTTTAAACTATAAAATATTTTAAAATTTGTTTAGAGATATTCAGGATATAAGCTATAAATAAATTCTATATAAATATTGAACCTTTCGATTTATAAAGTGTTTAACACATTTTATCAGCTCATACTCATAACTGCTCTAGGAAATGGGCAAGGTATATATTATTCCCACTTTACATTAAGGGAAGGGGGACCCTATCCAAGGTTACACAATTAGTAGATAGTAGAGCCAGGACCAGAGAAAGGTCTCTGAAGCAAGGCCCTTTCTACTTTTCTGGCTGCCTTACTATTTGAATAACAACAAGGACTCTAAGCAAACTGGAACCTTCTCTGACGCCTGCTCAAATCTTGCAGAGGATTAACACTATAACAGTGGTTCAGAATACGGGCTCTGGGACGAGACCATCTGGGTTCAAATTCTGACTCTCTAACTCACTAGCTGTGCAACCTGAACAAGTGATTTTATTTTTCTACTTATCTATTAGGCCTTATTATCCCCATCTGTAAAATGGGGATCCCAGCAGCGCCTACTCAGAGGGTTGCTGTGAGGATCAGATGAGGCAACAGGCAATGGGTGTCAGGAGTCTTGAAGACAGCACGTGCCCAACAGCAACGTCAGCTATTGTTGTTATTATTGCCGTCGTTTCAGAGATGAATACACCCAGTCCCAGGCCTCAGAAAAGCTCAGTCCAGTGAGGGAGGCAGTGTAAACAGTTATAATCATGGGACAAGACTGAAACAGACAGGGTGGGAACACCAACAGCTTGCCTGTCGCCCCACCCCACCCCCAGGAGACCAGCACTTCCTCAGAGGCAAGGCTGGCTCACACTCCTCTGTGTACCTCCCCCCAATCCTAGATGAACTGGGAAATCCTCACCAAGCCCCTGAGGCATGAGGTCTTTCTCTCTCATCCACTGGCCCCCGGGGCCATCGCTGTATCCCTGGCTCTCAGCTGATGCCCACAATCCCAGACTGGAGTGCAGGCCCAGTCAAGACTATCCTACCCACCAGAGCAGGGACTGGCAAGGAGACAGGGTTCGGGGAGAGGTAGCGTCTGGATTTCCGGATGGCAAACTTCTCCGTGGGTAGAGATTTCCCAGCAATCTTGAGTTTCAGGCCTGGCACGGCTCTGCAAGAGATGAGGACAGGGAGAGGGCAAGAAACAGCTAGAGAGGACCGACAGTCCCCAGCCTCTGCCTGGCCCCTCTCTCAGCCTCAGCTTCCCCAGCGGTGTGACGAGTGTTGGACTCACAGCCTGTGGCTGTGGCCTTATTTCACAGGCCCTGTCCCAAGACCTGACCACTTCCTGTGGCTTGGCAAAGGGCTCCTTCACACCAGCTGGCAGAGGGGACAATGTACCCAAACATCCCCAGGCCTCCTACTTGTCTCTCCTCCACTCCCAGGCCCCACTTCTGGAGGGCTCAGAGGAAATCTGACCCCAATTTTAAGGGGGGGACCAACAGCCAGAGAGAGGGCAGGACCTGCCCAAAACCACACAGCTCAAACCCTCAATTAACTCTTGCCACGTGAGCTGTGGCCTCCTCCACTGTTTCCAAAGGCAGAGAAAAGTGTGCATGTAGCCAGGCGAGCCTCTACATCTGGGGCCTCACCCGCCCACTCCATCCCACCCTCCAGTTTCTGCCACAGTCACCAGGTCTGGCTGTGACCCTCAGGCCTGAGCTGTCCAGGCCCAGGAAATAGCTGGACCTAGCTGTGAGGTCCCCCACCAAAAACGTCCCCTGCTTATTCACTCTGGAACCTCTCTGGGCCTCAGTTTTCTCATCTCTAAAATGGAGATGATGATACCTACCTTCACGGGCTTTCTGGAAGTTATATGAGACGGAGAAACAGAGCCAGTCAGTAAATGATCAACACCCTATGGCTGTGACAGAGTGGCTCAGGAAGCTCGGGCTACCTCCGCTTCCAGGTCTGCCAGGCGGGGCCGACCCTCACCACGACCAGGGGAGGGCCTCGGGTCCATCCTCAGCCTGCCAAGGCTGAGCCCTGCTCTCGACTCTTCACAGAAGGCAGATACAGCAGTGCACATAAGAATAAACACAGCCACCATTTAGTGGCTCCAGGCCCTACGCCAGGCTCTTTAAATATATTCTCTATTTGATTATCAAAACAGCCCCGCAAGGTAGAGGTGGTTATTCCCATTTTATAGACGCTGATATTGTCCACGGTGACACAGCTAAGACATAGCAGAGGCTGGATTTAATACTGCTTGCTTGATTCCAATTCGGGCTCTCTACTGCACTTCTCGGAGTGTATCAGGTTAACTCAGCAGAAGGAAGGACCCACTCCTCTCTGGACCTCAGTGTCCACATCTGTCCTACTGACCAGACGACAGAGGCCCAGTGGGAAGGATGTTAACAAGACCACTTTTGCAAAAGAAAACCTCTGACCAGATTCAAAGGGCTCTAGCAAGCAGCAGCAGGAGGTGATGGAAGGAATAACCGGCACATGGGGTGATCCTGGGGGAGGGTCAAGAAGCTCAGGGCCAGGGGAGATGACAAGCCCACCACCTCCCTCCCTGGCGCCCACAGCTCAGGGTGGCTGTGGGCAAAGCCTGGCTGAGGCCTATGACGGGGGTGAAATAGTAGGACCCACCTAAACAACTCCACTTCATCATCCCCGAACGGCTTGTAGTCTTCCTTCCCAAACATGCTGAGGTAGGCGGCCTTCATGTAGATGTAGGTGGCCTGTGCAAGGCAGAGCAAGTCAGATGTGAGCAACCTGCCCTCCAGTCACAGCCCCCAACTGGCACAAATCCCTCATTCAGCCCTCACTATGGCCCAGCAGAGTAGCTAACGTTATCCCCACGCCACAGGGGGGAAACTGAGGGAGAGGAAGCTTAGGGACTTGAGCTGTCAGTGCAATCCAGGACGGGCCCAGGTCAAAGCAGCCACCCTCTCCACTGTGAAGCAGCAGAGAGAAGGACCCAGGCAACCAGGGATGCACAGAGAGTGCTGAGGGTGGGATGGAGACACAGGGCAGGGCAGCAAGGGCTTCTGGGAAAGAATTACTTCAGACTGGAAGGCCAATGAGAAGATTCACAGAGACCCAAGAAAGGACCTTCCAGCAAGGGGAACAGCCTGAGCAAAGCCAGAGAGGGGCAGAGATGTGTATAAGTAAGATAGAAATAGGTAGTATAAAGCACGAGATGCACAAAAGAAAAGCTGTGAGGCCAGAAGAGTGCGCAGGGCCCTGGGTCAGGGCTCCGCTCGGGGTCCCTTGGTGAAACTGCCTTACTGTGTGCCAGGCACTTGACATATATCACCTCACTGGACCCCAGAGACAATGCCAGAAAGGCATCCATACCCCACCTCTGCTTCCTGGGACCGCAGAGCTGCTGGCAGCAGAGCTGGGCGTGACCCTAGGTTTGTGTGCCTTCAAGCCAGGTCCTTGCCCACTGGATCCACAGCCACTCCTGACAGGGAAGGTGTGGCCGTGCAGAGACCCCCTCCCCCAGCCGTGGAGCAGCCCTGAAAGCCACGCCCCTGCGCCATTGGTTCCCGGCGAGGAGCCTGGCTCTGTGCTGCCCTCCAGTGGCCGAGCCTTTCACTACAGCTCTGCCTCCCAGGGCTGCTGCCAAGGAACTAATACCTGCCTGTAGCGGAGAAAGAAGGGAATGGCGGGGAGGAGAGGGAGCTGGACATCCTGGAGTCTGCTCTCTGGAGAAGGCGGAAAGCGGCTTCCACCTGACGGCCCTACCCCTGCTGGAGCCCAGGGCCACGCCCAGTTCCACTCTGCCCTCAGCACTCACTCAGCCTGCGCCTCACAAGAGGAGGAGAAGCTGGTCTTCGCAGGGTGTGGTGGGCAGAATCTCCCCTCCCTGAAACCTTCCCACCACACCTTCATCGCGCTGTCATCCCTGCCTTCTCCCCCTCCCCGCCCTGGCACTGAGTCACCAAGGCCACCTGAGTTTACCTCCTATCTGGCTCCTGAATCCACTGGCCTTGCCCTCTCGCTCCCCTCCATGACTGCACCAGCCTCTACACCGTCTCCCGGCCCCAGGCCACCGGGGATGTCTTCCTCCTGTCCTAGTCCATAAGGCCTCCTAACCCTTCCCCCTGCTCCCACCCCCGCCCCCCTGCAAGCCACTCCCCACACCATCACCACTCTGGTCTTTTTAAGTCAGATCATGTCAGTCCCTCCTCGAAACCGTCTCACGACAGCCCATCGCACTTGGGATAAAATCCAAACTCCCTCTCACGAGGTCACGAGACCCTATTCCGTCCCCCCCAGTTTCTCTCCACTTTCATCTCCTACAGTCTCCCCCTAATTCACATCATTCTAGCCACACTCCTGTTTCTAGAATACATCAAACGCTCTCATCTTCAGCTCCCCCTCCCCGCCCTTTGCCTCCACAGCGCCCTCTGCCTGGAACTCGCTTCACTAAGATATCCGCGTGGCTGCTCCTTCACTTCATTCTGGTGTTTCTCAGGCCTCCCCTGACCACCCTGTACAAAAGAGCCCCTCCCATCACACCCTGCATCCTTACTGGAGCCTGACATTATATTTACTGTACACCTATTGTTTGTGTGTTTCTTGTCTCTCTCCTCACTAGAACATGAGCCTTGAGATGGGGTCTTTGTTTTGTTCACTGTTGTATGTCCTGGCCGAGAACAGGACCTGGCACATGGAGGTGCCCAGTAACTGTGGGAGGGATTTCTAAAGCACAGATATAAGCCACAAGCATCAAGGGCTCCCCCACGGTCAGCCTAAAGCCCAAACAGCCACTCACGGCCCTCCTGACCTGTGGCCCACCTTCTTCCATTTCTTCCCCATCACTCCCTAAACTCACCCCAGGCCTTTGCCCACGCTGTCCCTCTGCCTGGGATGCCACTGTCCCTTTTCTGCCAGGCTCATCCACTGGCTTCCACCAAGAGCCTTCTCCCCTCAGACAGCTCCCCCCACTGAGTCACCAGGAGTTAGGATGAGTGCAGCGACCTAGGGTTGTGAGACCCACGGACATCCAAGTTATCAAGGGACGTTATGGGGCCACACTGATGGAAAGCAGCAGCCACCTCCCCTGATGAAAGTCTCGTCCCCCAGGGTTGTCTGACTATTTGCCCACTGATTCTACACCTATTTTGCTGGATTACTCTACCAGCGTCTGTGCAGTCAGACAGTCCTTGTCCTCAAGAAGGTAACAGTGAGTGGCTTAGAGGGGGAAGGGTCCCTCTGCAGGCCCCCTGCACCCACACACCCTCCTCCCTGGAGACACACCACTCTGGGCGGCAGGCACCCTAGTTTCTGAGGCTTGGCCTCGCTGTTATGTTGGACTGGAGGGTCCTTTCATTTCCTCTACTCAGCCACCCTAATTCCTCCTCCAAGACTCAGCTCAGATGTCTCCTCTTCCAGAAGCCTTCCTTGTCCCTTGGCTGGGCTGCCCAGGGCTGCCTCTGAGCTCCCCTTGGATTCCCTCATTACAGCTCTGAGCACACGTGTCACTACCTCATTTCTGGCCATCTCAAGCTGCAAGTACTGGGGGAAACGCGAAGGCTCCACAGGGACAACAGGGAATAGTCCAGAGAGAGGGAAGGCTGAGGAGAGGGGCCGGCGCATATGGCAATGGCTACAGGCCAAGTCCCTAGAGCTGGAAGTTGGTGGACTCTATGGCGGCCAAGTGCTAGAGATTAGGAATGAATGAGGCCCCAGATTTCAGAGCGCTGCAACCCCCACTTTCACAGGAAACCCTTCTGAGGAAAGTGTAGCAGCGAGAGAGGGGCTGACCTCCCCAAAGTCACACAGCGAGCTGGAGACTGAGCTGACTCAGCCAGACTTCCTGACACCTGGGAGGCCTGGTCCTCCCTCTGCTTCTCACAGCAGCTGTGTGGCCACCCCGGGCCTCTTGCCGTGATGGTGGACCCAGCTTCCTGCCTCACTCCACAGGAAGGCTTCTACGTCACTTTAGCTCAAGAACACAGCCCCAGGCTGTGTTCTTGTTAGGAGTGGGAGATGGTGAGGAACAGCAGAGGGGGTCTCAAGGCAAGCTGGCCTCCTCAGGACTTGAGGAACAGGGGAAAAGCAGAGGCCCCTGAGTCACACAGATGTGTCTGTCACCAACAGCTGTGTGGGCCAGAAAGTCACACACCCTCTTTCAGCCTCAGTGTCCCTCAAGTGCTCGATGGAGGTAATAACTCCCACCTCACTGGGTGTGGCGTGGAGGAAACGGCAAGTGCTGGGCACACAGCTCAGTGGAAGCTGCTCCTCCCCCCGCCCCACCTGCCCCAGACCCAGAGACCTCCTTTCAGTCTGGTCGCCAGCAGGGTTACTGGAAAGGGACTTCCATGCAGAGGTGGTGGAGGGATGAGAAAGAGGGACTAGATGCAGATGACAAATAGTTCTCCCAACATGTGCCAACTCAGATCATTTCTAATGGCTGCCTGGAGTGTAGTGTGGAGAAGGCTTCTAAGGTCATGGTCAGGCTACGGGGAAGAGTACCAGGATTGACTAGCAATGTCTGCTGTGGGCAAGGGATAAGGTCATTGAGACATATGTGCTGTGTATTTGCCAGTACCAGATGAGATGCTCTCTGATGATCTAGATGATTCTAAGACTCGTGGTTCAGAATTCTGTGCTATCATTACCATGAGGATAACGACTAATGCTCATTTCACCACTTACCATGACATTATAAGTTTTTGTCTATGGTAGGCATCTGTTTTGCTTTCATGGCATCTCTTTAATGCCCACCTCCCCACCAATACTTCTCTTCTGCAGAACCACCCCTCTCCTACTCCCACTCCATGAGGAGTCTTCCCACCCCTCTGTTTCCAGGCAATGACATGCAATCTATGCCAGACCAATGAGACTCCGCTATGGGATTTTGGTCGAAACCAAAGGGAAGATGGGAGTTAGGGGCAGGCAGCCCATGGCCATCCTGCCTGTTACATGGAAAGAACCTGCCGGCATAACAGATGTCATAGAGGAGAGCACAGCCACAGATAGAAAAACCAAGCTCAGATGATTTAATTTGAATTCCTGGATCCAGCCCTACCTTAAGTCAGATGTGCCTAGAATTTTCAGGTACTGAATATGAACCAATGAACCTTTTGTGTTTTAGACCTGCATAGTCCAACACGGTGGCCATCAGCCCCACGGGATTTTTAAAATTTAAATCTGAATTAATTAAAATTAAATAAAATTTAAAACATCCAGTTTCTCAGTTGCCCTAGGCACATTTCAAGCGCTGAGTGTGCACAGGCAGCTGGTGGCTACACCCTGGATGGTGCAGAAATAGAACATTTACACCCTAACAGAAAGTTCTATTAGACAGCACTCACCTAGACAGTGTGAGCCATGTTTCTGTCCTTGTGACTAAAACTCAACTGACACACTGTAGTTCTAAAGTTTCCCTGTTCCTCATGGTCTTTAGTTCCTTCCAACCCTGAGTCCTATTAGAATTTATGGTTCTGTTTCAATTCCAGCTGGGACATCTGTGTTCAGTTTGGGCCAGTTAGACTGGCTGTGTTCTGGGGGCCGTGGCCAGTCTGGGTTGGCCTGGTCTCCCACAGTCCCCGACACATGGTGTCAGCCCACCTTGGACCAGGAGTTCTCCTTGCTGAGCAGGTCGGCGTAGAAGTAGGCCATCTTCCACTGGCCCTTGTAGGTGAAACACCACATCAGCTCCCAGTAGCACATGTGGTGGAACTGCTTCCAGTGCTGCTGGGCCTCGCAGCACTCCTCGAACCGCCGGATGGCCTGTGGGCACCTGCTGGTCAGCCTCCGTGGGCGGCCCCCTGGCCTGCCCCCGCCCACTCTCTGCCCCCTCTGCCCCGCCCAACTCCACAGAGGTCCAGCCTCCTCCAGCGCACAGTGGTCCAGCCCCGCGCCAGGCTCAGGGGGCAGGGGCGCAGCGCTGGGGAGACAGGCGATCTGGCCTCCAGGCCTGGTGCTGCCCCCTAAGGCTTACACGACCTTAGGCCCAGTTACTGCCCCTCTCTCGGACACGAGTCTTTCAGCACAAAATGAAAGGACAGGATTGAGCTATAATGGAGGGATAACAGGCAGTGGAACGTGTTAATATTCAAGTGATATAGTAATGTCTATGCCTCAGACCAAACTCTGAAGGTTCCAGTAGCTCCCGCGAAGGGACCTGGACCTGAGGCATCTGTCCTGGGGCCAGCTGGAGGCACCAGAACTCCACGTTGTAGAGTCCGTCCTGGGCCCTGGCTTAGTGCTAGGGATTCTGCCAGGACCCTGATTCCCCACTCCCTCACCCCTTCGATGGCTCCCGCCCACCTCTGGAGTCTAGACTCCCCAGCAAGGCCGTCAAGGGGCCGGCCTCACCCCTCTGCTCCCTCCCGGCACCACCACTCCATTCACCAGGTTCCGGCCTTTCACCACGCCCGGACAAGCGGGTCTTCCCACCTCTCTGCGTCACCCGGGGATCTCCCTCTCCAGGAAGGCCACGGTCCTACAGCTCCCTGTCAATCCTGCTCACCACAAATGCCACCTCCTCCTCGTCGTCTCCGTCGGAAGTGCCTCTCCCGCCCCTGCTCTCTTGCTGGCTCCCTCTCGGGCCCTCCCTCGTCTGCCCCGTCCCTGAGCATGTCTGTGTGCGTCTTCCTGCTGACCTGGGAGACCCCGAGGGTCTCCAGCACCGGCCCGGACTCCATTACTCACGGCGTCTACATTGCCTTTAATGGCTTCAATCCGCCCAGCGAAGAACAGGAAGATGGCGCCCTGCAAGGACAGGCAGGTGGTCCGCGTGGGTCCACAGGGGCACGGGCTGTGGGGGTCTGGCGGGAGGGGGGCTCACCTTAGGGTATCGCTTCAGGTAGGGCTTCAGGAGCTTCTCTGCCTCCTCGATGTTGACATTCCCGGTGCCTGAAGGAGGTGGGGGGGACAACAACACATGTCACCACCACTGGCTCCTGTGACTTCCCAGCAAGCTACCAGGGGCTTCTCAGGGCCTCCGCCTCCCCCTCTGTGAAATAACTCTTCCGTCTCCAGGGAGATGTGAGGAGTAAATTAGTCAGTGCAGGTACCGGCCCCGGCACACCACAGGGCTCACCAACCAAGAACCCCTGCCCACCAAGGCTGGGCCCAGAACCCCAAGGGCCTGCCTGCAGCGTCCTCACACCCTCTACAAGGTGGCCATGCCCGACCCCATTCCACAGACGAGAAAACTGAGGCTGGACCCGGGTCACACTGTGAGGAAGTGAGTGGTCAGCCCCAGGACAGCTTATGCGGCTCTGTTGTGTCTGTTTTCAGCGCCCACCCCCAGTCCTGGGCGGAGCAGAGTCTGCAGCCCCTCGCCCTCAGACACCTGCCCTTAGAGCCAACCAAACCCCAGAGGCCCCAGTCCTCGCCCCGGGGTGCTCCTACCCAGCACGAAGGTGAGGAAGGTGTGGTAGCACAGCAGCAGCATGACGCAGAGCACGGCGCGGAAGCTGTGTCCCGCTGCGCCCTCCTCCAGCTGCAGCAGCCCGTAGTCCTGGTGAGAGAGGGGACAGGCTGAGGCCAGCAGGGCCTGAGCTCCCCAGGGCCCACCCTGGGACCCAGCCAGGGGCAGGGCCTGGGAGGTCACTGGACAGCTGTGAGGGCAACACTGCTGGAACAGAGGCAAGAGAGCACTGGACTCTGAGTCGGGAACCCTGGAGGCCGGGTCAGCTGCTCCCAGGCTGTGCAACCCTGAGCAAGTGGCTGCCCCTCTCAGTGACTCAGCCGCCTTCCTGGGGGCAGAGGACATTGCTGCCAAGGCCAGGGCAAATGCTTGGGTCTGGGAGTCCCCCGCCTCCTGAACAGTCCCTCCCCCACTGCCCCCTTTATTCACAGGCTCAGCCCCCCACCCCCCGACAGTGGGCGCTGAGGCCCTGAGCAGCCCCAGGTCTGATGGGGGAAGAGGAAAGAGAGAGACAGAGAATCCTAACCACAGGCTCAGGGTATAGATGGGGCTGTGAGGACTGCAGTCTGGGAAGGCTTCCTGGAGGAGAATGCTCCAGAGGAGGCTGGGGAGGAGCAAGAGGCCAGACCTCACTTGTTTCCCTGCCTGCAGTCTCTGCCCCTCTGTCTGTCCTCCAGGGCCTTCTTGTTCTTCCTAACACACAAATCTGACCTGCCTCACCCCCGCCTCAAACCCTCCATCACTCTCCTGCCTTCAGGATAAAATCAAAGCCGGAGCTGGTGCTGGAAGTCTCTCCCACTCTGGCCTCGCCACCCCCTCTTCCTGGCCAGACAGGCCACGCTGTCCCACCTCTGGGCCTTTCTCGTGCTCTTCTCTCCTGTCATCATCCTGAAATCCTACTCACAACCACGGGCCTTCTTATGAAAATAAAACCGAAAGGGATCTTCAGAGCCTCCGGGCAGTGTTTCCCAGGAACAGGGCCGGGGCCATGAACCACAGATGGCAGCCAAGATTTTAGGGGCCCGCGGACAGGCACGAGGCAGGGTCCCAAGTGAGGGTCTTCCCTTCTCAGCTCTCTGTCTGTCCTTCCGACAGCATCTAGGAGAGAGCCTCGGTCCTGTGCAGGCGTGCGCCGTGAGCTCCCTCTCTCACAGAGAGAACGGCCTCGGCAGACCACACAGTCCAGCTGGGCGTTCGTGAGACTGCCTGGTCATGGTAGTCGTCATTGTTATGATTACGTTCTTATCATGCCAAATAACATGGGTTTTCTGTGTAGTAAAGTTTTCTTTAGGTAAGTTTAAGTAAAAAATATGAGCCACTTTTGGGAAAAATAATACACAAATAATAACATAGAGGTCAGTGGACATGGCAAAAATCAGGAAGGGCCAACAAAAATCCAAGTTTGAAAAACACTGACCTGATCTAAAAAAAGCCTCTTGTTTTACTGAAGAGAGGCCCAGAGGAGGGCGGGACTTGCTCAGAGTCACAGAGAGAAGGGGGTGAGGCTGGACTGACCCAGGGCTCCTGACTTCCAGGCCAATGCTCCTTCCACCACACTGGGCCTCCTCCACTAGGGAGCCCTCCCTGATCTGCTACCTGGTACTCAGGTTCCTGTCCTCAGTATAGCCTCTGGGCACTTGAGTCCTCCAGTTTCTACCCTCAAGGCCTGATGCAGAGTAGGGCTTCCCTTGGGCATCTCTCAGACCAGAAAATGGTGCGAGGGGAAGGGACTTGCTCAAGATCTTCCTAGGGGAGAAGGACCAGTTTCCTGACACCTGTTAGGCTCAGAGAACACGACCCCAGGCCACTGCATGGAGTTGCCCTTCACACCCACCCTTACCCTAGAGCCTCTTCACCCTGTGAGAGGACAGGCAGGGATCACCAGCCCTATTTGACAGGAGAGGAGACTGAGGCCCAGAGAGGTCTGGGCCTTGTCCAGGGCCACACACTGAGGGGGGTGGAGGCAGGACTGGCACTCAGGCCCCGCAGCCCCACCCTGTCAGCCAAGCACCAGTCCTGGGGCTGAGCAAGCTGGGGGCCCCAGAAGGCAGGTGGTACCTTGTTTCCTGAAAACCCCACGAACTCCAGCAGCCGCAGGATCCTGGTAGGAAGCATGGACAGCGTCTGCAGGAACAAAGGCAGGTGGGCACGTGTATGGGGGGCTGCCCCTCCCACTCCCCAAACCCCCGAGTCCTGGGGTAACTCGGGGCTGCAGGCCCTGCCTGCAGAATGTCCACGAGGCCCCAGCTTTCCTGGAAAGCCAGCGTCCCCAGATAGAGAGGCGCCACCATGTGACAATTAGGAGCAGACTGCATCCGAATCCTGACCTCACCACTGCCAGTAGGGTCACCTTGGGTAAGCTACATATCCTCTCTATGCCTCAGTTTCCTCATCTGTAAAATGGGAATAACAATAGCCCCTATCTCACAGGCGTACTGTGCAGATGGATCAGATTTCTGTACGTGAAGCATGTAACAGGCCTGCACATAACTGTTAGCTATTCAGTGTCAGTACACTGAATCCCAGGGGCTTTGGCACTGCATCTGATCCTCAGAACAGTCCCGCAAAGAAGGGATTACTGCCCCTTTTGACAGATGGAGAAACAGAGGCACAGATAAGTGACAAGATACGTCCAAGGCCCCGCAGCTCCTCAGAGGACAGTCCGGCTATAAGCTGCTAAGGCGTCCCACGCACCCTGCAGCTTGTACCTCTCAGCACCAGGCCAGGATCTCTGCTCCCACTCTACACGCAAGGAAACTGCAACCCAGAATGAGGCAGGGACCCCCGCCCCAGCGCCTGCTCTTTGGACACGCTTTGCCCAGAGGGGAGAGAGCCACTCCCCACACACACACTCTGGACAGGCCCCTGGCCACCCAGGGCCAGGAGTCTAATCATCCAGGAGCAGCTCCTCCTCCCAGAAGCAGGCACAGCTATTCCGAGCCTCCCTGCCTCGGCTCACACTGTTCCTTCTGCCTAGAATGCCCTTCCCTGCCTATGGATCTTCCAAGATCCAGCTCAAATACCACCCCCTCCAGGAAACCTTCCCCACCTCTCCCAGGCAGGGTCTTGGCTCTCTGCTCGCTGTGGGTCAGCCACTGTTTCCAGGCCTGTCTCCTTCCCTGCCCGCAAGTCAATCTTTAACCGCCGGCTCTCCAGGGCAGAAAGGCCCTGACTTATTGTGTTTGTCAATTTCTGATGCTATAAACACTGCCACCATGGTGGATTTCAAGCTTTCAACTTGACTTGGAAAAGACTGCATAGAAGAGACTCTGGAGCCAGAGCCAGCACCCACCCCCACCCCAGCTGTGAGCCCCCCAGGCTGGCAACACGTCTGCTTCACCGCTGGGTCCCAGGGTGGCACAGGGCCCAGAACAGCAGCCCAGCAGACCACGTGTAGGGCTGGGCCGTGCAGGGGCCCAGACACGGTGGGCACGGGGAGGGGCACCCCACTCACCAGGTTGAAAGCCCCCACACCGAGCTTCACTCCTCCTTCAAAGTGCCTGTGGTTCTCTCCCTTGCAGTACTGTGAGGACTGCACGAGGCTGTCCAGCTCCCTGTGGGGGGATGCAAAGGCTGTTTCAGGCACATACTGGGGGCCTAAGGTTGCCCCCCACTCCCAGCTGATCTCAGAACTCGCTGCTGGTAGATTTATAACAGTTCTGGCAATCCAGAGAGCTGATATTCGAGGAATTCCTAACCCCATCTCCCATGGTAATAACACATTCCTTGCCCCTGAATTTCAGCCATCTTGGCCCTAGTGCACTTGCCTTGTCCAATGTCTGGGATTTGCTTGTGCTCTCCATTCTGTCTAGAACACTCCTCGGCACTACTAACATTTTAGGCCGGATAATTCTTTGTTCGGGTGGGGATGCTGTCCTGCCCATCGTCGGATGTTTAGCAGCATCCCTGGCCTCCACCCAGGCAGTGCCAGGAGCAACCTCCCCGCAGCTGTGACAACCAGATGTCTCCAGACATTGCCAGATGTCTTGTGGGGGCAAAATGCCTCTAGTTGAGAACCACTGGGCTAACTCCAACACCCCTCCTCCTTCAGGAAGTCTTCCTGGAGTCTCTTGGTTGGAATCCAACCCTCTTTCTCCTGGTCACCAACTGTGCAGAGCCCATATTCCAGCCCTCCTGGGGCAGGACAGAGGCTCTAAAGACATGCCTGCCTCCTTCCCGGACCATGAGCATCCTGAGGGCTTTCGATCAGCAAACTGAGGCCTCTCTGCGCCAGGCCCTGGAGGACAGCAGGGTGCAAAGCCACCAAGCTGCTGCCCTCACAACCCTCCTACTCTAGTGGACGGACCCCAATAAGTCACTGTGAGGGTGAGGAGGGCCTCAAAGGAGAAGAACCCTGGGGCCTGACCTAGTCTGGGGTTCAGGGAAGGCTTCCCTGAGGAGCCGACATTTGAGCTGAAACCAGAGGGATGAGGAGGGGTTAGCCTGGCACTGAAAGAATGCTCCTGGCAGACAGAACAGCATGTCCAAAGGCCCTGAGGTAGGAACGAGCTTGACATGTTTGAAGAACTGAGGGAAGGCCCAAATGTCTGAGGTAGAGAGGGGTGGGAGATGTGGCCAGGAAGGCAGGGGGAGCTCCCAGGAATGTCTCAGCAACGACCAGGGACTTTATTCTAAGAGCAAGAGGAGCGTCAGGAGTTGGCAGGGGGTGACCTGACAAGGTTTGTACTCTGGAAACGTTACTCTGGCGGCTGGTGGAGAGACTGGAGGGGCCAGAACACTTGCCTGGTTCCCTCCCACAACTCCAGCACAGAGCCACCAGGTAACGCAGTGCCCATGTATACTGCACAGTGTGGAATACCCCCGCAGTACCCTGAAATCAAGCTCGCAATATCTCTACAGGGAAATGGTCACATTAAATGGGGAAAATAAAGATGATAAATAGTCTCAAGTCAATTCAGGTCAACTTTTAATGGAAAATGAGTTTTAATGCCAAACTTGAGGGGAAAATGGGCTTTCAGAGCTTTTTTGATTTTGGAACTGTGGATAAGGATTGCAGCACCACGCTGGGTAAAAGTGCTCTGGACTGAGTCTTCATTCTTTCATCCATAAACATGGCCTATGTCCGGCCCAGTGCTGAGAAATCACCTGGCCCTTGGGGAGCTCCCAGCTTGGGGGGGGGGGGCGTGTGTGTGGACACCACCCCTGCGTACCGGAGAGCTCGAGGAAGGCTTCATGGGGAAAGTGGCATTTGGACAGGGCCTTCACAGACGTGTAGGAGTTCTGTGGCTGTTCTCAAAATTACTGTCCCTGGGTCTTTCCCACCGCCCCCACCACACCGAGCTGTTCGTGCAGATTCTGTGTCTCAGTTTCCCCTGCCTCAGGATCAGGCACAGACTAAGCACTCAGGGGAAACAAATGAACAGATACACCCAGAAAACCAGGGGAATAATATTCCAGAAAACTGAGGTCCTGAGGGTGCAGAAATCTGAGGTCACGCGGCATTTCAGGCTTCCTGCCTCTGGCCAGCGCTCTCTACCTCCCACAAAGCAGCCTGAGGGGCGAAGGGTACTGGATGCTGTGGCCCCAGGCACCCCCAGGCCAGCCCCACTCACTTGTAGGTCTGGTAGCTGTTGCGAACTTTGATGCCGCCCTTGATGAAGCTCACCATGTTCTCGTCCTGCAGGAGGGAGAGACGCTGAGAGCAGGGCCTGGGTGGGTAGCCACAGGCTTGAGAGGGATCACACAAGGCTCTGGCCCTGCCTGCCCTCTATCAGGGGCCCTGGGGGGATGGGGGTCAGAAGTCAGCCAAACCAGGCCCTCTACCCCTAGGACTTGAGATGAGGGTCTTGCTTGCCAAACAAGACCTCCAAAATGCCCACGGCTCGACCATCATCCCCCTTTACAGTCTCGCATGTACACAGACTACACTCTGGGAGAAAGCGCCGGAGGAGAGCTCCCGGTGATTAGCAGTGCCTCCTCCTGGTGGGGGAAGGGTGGGAAAGGAAGAGGGATGCTCATTTTGGGACTGTTTGGGTTTTTTACAAGTAGGTATTTATCACATTTGTAATTTAAAGCACCAATATCCTCAGCCCGCCCGGTAGTTCCACTCCTGGGTGTACCCCCAAGAGAAAGGGATGAACACGGGTTGCAGAGTCACCTTCAGGAATGTTCACGGCACCACCGTTCATGGTAGCCAAGCATGAGAAACAGCCCAAATGCCCTTCAGCAAGAGAACGATGGACAAACTGGTATATTCATAGAAGGGCATACTACATAGCCACAAGGCTGGGGGAAGGAACCAAGTCCACACAGCCTGAGGCCTTAACAAGCTCAAAGCCAACTAAAACATAACAATATGCTGTGCAGACATGAATAGGAAGCCGAGAAACCTATTGTTTAAAAATAAGCTGGACAATGATACCCTAAGCTCTGGGTGGCGCTTCCCCCTGGAAGGGGGGCAGGGGCCAGGTGGGAGGAGCCGGGGTGAGGAGACTGCCTGGCGGTGTCTGTTCTCTGGGTGCAGTTTGTGGGCGGTTGTTCATTTATGATGTGTAATAATAGAATCAACAAACAAAATAAAAGGCCATTCACAATGCAATTTTTACAGTGATCCTAATGAAGAATTAGGATTAATCTAATTCTAATCACCTGAGATCCAAAAAGTAGCTAACAAAAATAAACAGCACCCCAAGAATAAAATTTATATGTGCCTCTTCACCCCAATACACAAATTTACATGATTATACGTCATAATTATAACTCAGGCTTTTTGGTAAAATCATGAGGTAATGGTTTTCATAATTATTGCTGTGTGGTGAGGAGCACGGGCTCCGAGTTGGCCAGACCTGGGTTCAAATCCCAGCTCTGCCTTTTGCTAAGCATGTGACCCTGGGAAAATGGCTCCTCTCTTCTAAACTCTGCCTTTGCAGGCCTGTGAGGTGAAGATTAAATTAAACGCATGTAAAAACCAACATGCCATGTGTGTAAGGTAGATAAAGACTACACACCTGTCAGGTATGCACAAAGCCTGGTCCATCATAGGTGCTACAAGTCAACTTTTTGAGTGAATCAAGTTTGATTCACTTACACTTGTTCGTTGAATGAATCAAGTGTAAAGCAGGCTTTGTGACAATGCCTGTCACCCCATGTGACCCGTAGCGGGAAGACAGCAGTCCCGAGGTGGAAGTGCATCCTGGTAGTGGACAGGAACTCGTGTGCTCAGTGTGGACGAGGTAAAGCCCCTCCCCTCTGCCACGGAGACTGGCCAGGGCCGGGAGTGTTAGGGTGACTGAGCCCCAGTCCTCGCCTGAACCACAAGGGGGCTGAGTGTGGCTGCTACAGACCCTTCTGGCTTGGACATGGTGATGGATCTTCTAAATCCCCAGGCTGCCTGTGCAGGTAGAGGGCTCCTACCTGCAGGAAGGTCAGGGCGGCTCTCTGCAGCAGGCATTCCGCGTAGCACACCTCCGCGTGGATTTCCTCTGCGGGGAGAAGACCAAAGCCCTGTGGCCTCCTGGGACTCCTGGCAGGAGGCCCAGGCCAAGTCCTCCAACCCCCACCTCCCACAGGCAAAGGGAGCCTGAGTCAGCAATGCCCTCCCCAGCCCCCAGCTCTGGGTCTGTCACTGCACTCACCACTGTCCTGAATTCGCTTACGATTCCCCCAGTCTTCCACCTGGTTCCCCACCCCACCACCCAGAATGTCAGCACACGGCCCTGGGCCTCGCTCTCTTGTTCTCCGAGCATCCCTGTATGTGCCGTGCAACAACCCCCTAGGGTGCTGGGCAAGGAGAAGGCGCTGGGCTGAACGGATGAACAAAGATGCTGATCCAGGGAAGCCCACTGGCTGTGGGAGGCACGGAAGGAGAGCTAACACAGCCTGGGGAGTCAGGGAAGACTTCCAGAAGAAAGGGCATTTGAGTTGGGCCCTTGAATTGAGAAAGGACTGGAAGGATGAGGCAGAAAGAGCTTTCTAGGCAGAGGCCCAGGAGAGCCAAACAACTCAGATGTTGAGGACAGCTGAGCCATGGAAGGTTGAAATGGGGATGAGGTGGAGAGAGATTTAGGGGGCAGGGAAAGATGAGGAGAGGCAGAGGTCTGTTTGCAAAGGGCCTCGAACACTGATGGAGGACGGCAGGCTTGGTCCCGTGGGCAGCAGGGAGCCATGGCAGGTATGGCGGAGGGAGGGGCACCATCAGATGCACTGTTTCGTGCTGGAACCCTCAAGGGCTCTCGAGGTGGGAAGGCCATCCGCCCTGTACTGAAGAGCCCCACACTTGGCTGCTGCTGCCTCCAGGACTGCCACACGTGGCCACAGCACAAAGACGCCACGTGGGCTCTGGCAGCCCAGACCACCTCTTCCACTGCTTTCAGCTCTCACCCCAGGCTGTCAGCCTCTAAAACCACGTTCCCCTCTGGGGCACAGGAGATCACCACGATAATTAAACCAGTGACGGTAGTTTAACCACGCACAATTCTAAGCCCACCCTGGCCTGAGGAGCAAAGTGCACTGACCATGTGACAGCATTTTCTTTCCCCGACTTCCAGGTCCTCGGCAGGTCATGCTGTCAGGTCAGTGAGTCTCACCTGCTCCCCCTCACCTGAGAGCCACTCCTCAAAAGGCCCCAGGTCTGACCCATCTGTGTCCCAGCATCTAGGCCAGGGCCCAGCACCCCCTGGGCAACGACTGGGAGGATAACTGTCCCTTCCCGCCCCTCCCTGGGCCTGGAACCAGGCTGCCTGGGGTCAGTGGGCTGGAGAGGATGTCCCGAGTGCCATACCTTCTGTGAACTGCTCCATAGTGGGGCGGTGCACCAGGTTGCTGAAGGAATCTGTTACAGAGGACTTCCTCCGGTGCCTGAAAAAGAAAAGGGGCCTCAAGTCATTCAGTGAGGGTGAGCGAGGCTCAGACAGCATCTCCCGCCCCTCCCAAAGGACTCCACACGCACTGAACTGCAACTCCCCAAATCCAGGCTTTCTCACACCCCCGCCCCTCCTCCCTCTACCCTGGCCAGTTCCTAGTTACCCTTCAGGACCCAGCTCCGGCATCACCTCCTCCAGGAAGCTTTCCTGTTCCTCCAGCTGGACCCCTAGGGCCCCTTGAGCTCCCGTGAATCATGCCGGGATGCCACTGTGTGCGCCTTTCTCCCCGCCCAAGCACAGGGCATCAGAGGGGCCGGGGTCGGGTGATTCCCGGGGTGGCCAGTGCCCAGCACAGGGCCTGGCCTAGGGCAGGCATGAGAGTGTGCCCAGTGAACGATGACCACCTGTGCACGAACACAGGGTCTATTCATTCATTCGTTCAAGCAGTTAATGTGCACTGAACACCAATTATGCACCAGATCCTGCGACCAGTGTCTTCATTCAGTCCCACAACCTCCCTATCATCACACCCATTTTACAGATGAGGAAAGTTGAGTCCAGAGAGGGACTTGCCCAAGGTCAAAGAGTTAGTACGTGACAGAGCCAGAATTTGTCTCCTTCCAGTCAGGCCTGGCCCCTGGAAGCTGCTCAGTGACTGGCTCAGACAAGCCTCCTGAGGCAGTGCTGACAGGAACCGCTCTTAGCACCTGGGGACACGTCCTCTTAGCCAAAAGGAGAAGCACTAATAGTGGCATTTTAGGCACTGGGATAGGCCTAGGTGACAGAAAGATGGGCCTCACAACCCCTCATCCCTGCCCACCCCACAGCCCCGACCTCTGACACAGCGACTGCGCCTCCTTCATCATGTTGCCAGCAAGCAGGATGTCCTGAGGGTCAAAGGTCATCATGGCCTGCATCTCCAGGATGGTCGCGTACGTCAGTGAGTGGTACATGCTCTCCTTGGTTCTGCCAGAGAGAAGGGACACGAGAGTGCCAACTCCTAGGACTCCAGAGGTAGCTGACCCTGTGTTGATCACTCACCATCCCCCCCGCATCCTGCATGGGAGGAACAGAGGTCCAGAGAGGGGAAGGGACTAGCCCAAGGTCTGACCCTTCCAATGCTGCTCAAAAGACCTCGGATCCCAGCTCCTCCTCTTCCTGCTGAGTGGCCCTAAGTGACTTTCCAAATCTGAGCTTCAGTTTCTCATCTGTTCCACAGGCATGGCAGCAGCAAGGCTGGCCAGGACTCAGAAAGGGCTTAGCAATGTGTTGGCCTGAGGCCAGACTCCCCTGTGCCCAGGGCCTGCCTCTCGCCTTCTGCCCCACCTCCCACAGGCTGAGCCCAAGTCCCATCTGTGGGACCTCCTCTATCCTCAAGCCCCACCCCTGGACTTACCCCATCCTTCGTCCCTGGACCTCACTGGCCTCGCCACCTCCTGCCTCTTCCATCCCATCATCTGATCACGCTGCTCTGCTTAAGCCCTCTGGTGGCTTCCACATCCTATGAGATGATGCTCGAGCCTGAGGCTCCACGATACAGGCCCTGCCCACCTCTGCAGCCCAGCCCTCTTGGCACTTCTACTTCTGCCCCATGATCTGGTCACATTCAAGATTGTACCTCTGGCCACACTGGACCACACACGCTCTCCTCAAGAAAATCCCACACTTTCCGTTCTCTAGGCCTTTGCCCATGCTGTTCCCTCAGCTTGAAATGCCCTTCCCCTACCCCCACATCTCCTGACTCATCTGCCAAGGCCCTCAAATGCCTCAAAGGCCACTGGGAGTCCAGGGCTCCCTCCTCAGGGAGGATGTGTCTATAACTGAGGCACGAATCACACTGAATTTTTATCAGCAGAGGCTTGCTCTCTCCCCAGACCATGGGCACCTCAAGGACAGAGCTGGTGTGGATTCATCTCTGTCCTCAGCACCAGTGTGACAGGACTGGGCCAGCCGGCCTCAGGAAGCCTTCCCTCCGGCCTCCCTGCTCCTCCACAGCCCCAGGCCTCCCGACTGAAGGGTGTGTTGGCAGAGGGGGAACATTTAGTCTAACACATGGAAACAGCAGGGGGCAAGGAGAAATAGGAACGATGCCAGTCCCTCTCTGTACTTGGGGAAGTCACAACGAGTCTGGGCCTTGATTTATGCTTCTGCAAAATGGGGACAATAAAGCTGGCCTGCCCCAGTCTGCGTGGGACTGGCTGGGATTCCCAGTGCCTGGCACACAGTAGGCACTGGAGCGGTTGCCAGCCCCTTCCCCACACCCCTCGTTAATTATTTACAAAACTCCTCAGTGCCAGGCTGACGCTGGGAACTTCAGGGGAGAGAGTTTATGAGTAAGGTTTATAGACTGTTCTATTGTAAAATCACATGACTTTACCTATTTTCTTGCCTTTTTCATTCATAAAACACCTCTGTAAATTCAGTTACTTTTTTACTTCTGGGTGACCCTCAGGTGATATTAACCTTGGGAGTCAAAGGTTTCTGAAGGAAACCAAAGGCTGATCCACCCCTCACCAGCCCTGGTAGCTGTCAGGACACTCCCAGGTCTTTGTTAGAACTGTTAATCTGAGGGCAGTGGCTCGTGGAAAGGCGGCCATGGCCCACAGTGGGGACAGAACTCAGGCTCAGAGTCCCTCAGAACAGGCTGGAATCGTGGCTTCACCAGTTACCAGCTCTGTGATCCGGTGAGTCTCGTACCCTCTCTGAGCCTCAAGTTTCTCCTCTGTAAAATGGATACAATAACCCTTCCCTCTCAGGATTTTGTGTGGCTTAAATAGGATGCCCAGGCCAGGGCCACATCGCAGATGCTCAATAAATGTGAGTCCCTCCGTGTCCTGCCAGGGTCGAGTCATTGCCCCGGATAAAAACTTTCTACCGGAGGAGGGGTTTCCCTGGCAGCACAGGACCCAGCCCGGAGATAATGCCCTCCCCGCAGGGTTCTCCAGCTCTCAAGCCCCTGCCTCTCTCTTCCTCTCCCTGCCCAGGCGGCAGGCCAGGACTCAGCCCCACCCATCCAGCCCCACTGCTGAGCCCTCACTGGTGCTGGGCCCAGAAGGAGCGACAGCCCCGCCTGGGCAGCTGGCAGGCAAAGTGGAATTTCTAGTTTGAGGCCCAAGGCCCTGACACGGCCTCTGCAGCTGGGAACCCTGGCCCCTCCCCAGCCCCCCACTTGGAAGCCCAACTATGGGCTGGATGGGAATCTGGGACAGAGGTATGACAACCCCCCAGACCTCAGACACCCCAAGTTTAGTTTGCACTCCACAAAGTTCTTGTTTGCACATATAGCATCCAGACCCCTGGGAGCAACAGTCCCCTTACCTCTGAGCTAGACTGAGCTCTGGGACATGACGCCCACTGGGGTCCCACCTTCTGGGCCCAGACCAGCTGTCAAGATGGGGAGGGCACTGGAAGAGCCATCAGAAGAGCAGGGTGTTGGAACCAGCGACTCCATGGCCACCTGGAGGTCAGCTGAGCCCAGTGGCCCCCAGTCTTTCTCTCCTCTGCCAGTAGCCAAGGCTCAGGCCCTTGTCAGCTCCTTGTCAGCCATCCTTATCCCCACCATCCAGGCCTCCTGACTCTGACCCAACCCCCCTGGCTCCTTCATGGCCCCGCCTCACCGCCCCAGTCCCAGCCTAAGCCCTCAGTTCCCAAGGACTTCTTTGGGTGAGGCTGCTCCAGGCTGGAAGGCAGAGGCAGCCACCCCGCCTCCAAGCGGCTTTCCTTCACCCTTATATGCCCCCACCCCACTTCCTGGTTCTCTCAGGATCCCACCTCACTGCCCTCCTCTTCAGCCCAAGAATCTTCTGGGGGACCCACATCCACAGTCCACCTTCCATCACCCTGCCCTCTCCCTTCTGGGACCTGCCTCAGCTCTCTCCACTCCAGCCAGGCCACACGTCTCTGTTCCTCAAATATACTAGACTCTCATTCCCTGCCAGGCTTTTGCACAGGCTGTTCCTCTGCCTGGAAATGCCCTCTCCATCAGGTTGACTCTCATCCAGCCTATCGCAGCTTAAATGTCACTTCTTCCAGGAAGCCATCCAGGGCTGGCTTCAAGGGTGTGTGATCTGTGCAGTTACACAGGGCTCCATGCCTAAAAAGGCCCCGTGCTTGGTTTAATGCTCTGCTGTTGCTGTCTTGAAATCCTTAACAATTTTTGAACAAAGGACCTCACACTTTCATGTTGCAATGCACCCAGGAAAATTATGTAGCTGGTCCTAAAGCCTTCCTGACCAGCCCCTCCCTATATGAATTGGGGTCCCTGTATAACTCTCAGCACCACCCCTTATTGCTTCTTTCACTGTTTCCCTGCAGAAGGAACCCTGAGAACAGCCTCCGTCTCACTCAGTCCTGCAGCCCCAGCACCCAGTACCCTGCGAGGCACACGAGGGCACTCAGGAGGTATCACCAAATGAACCAGCGACAGGTGCCCAACCACCCCATCCCACACATCACACTTTGACCTCCTCATCGTCTCACAGAGTGGCTCTGCTTCTGGAGTCTTAAGTGATACCACCCCCCTCCCAACCACAACCTCCCCACCTCCCCGCTCTCTCCTTTATCACTCCCACTGCCCCATCACCCCACCTCCAGCCTGTCCTCTCTTCCTGCCCACCCAACTTAGCTTCCTCATACCAGCCACTCTCTTGTCAAAATACTCACTGCTGAGCCTTCCAATCTCCTGCTGCGCCCCATTAGGAAGCCCGGCCCAGGAGCCAGCCGCTGTCCACTTTCTCCGTGTTGCCACCGAGCAACGCTGGAGGAAGCCACCAGCCAAACGGACAGGCACACCCTGAGCAGGGGCACCAACCTTGGCCAGGCCACACACGCTACTCAGAAACTTCTCCCCTGGGGCCGGCCCCGTGGCTTAGCGGTTAAGTGCGCGCGCTCCGCTACTGGGGGCCCAGGTTCGGATCCCGGGCGCGCACCGACGCACCCTTGTCTGGCCATGCTGAGACCGCTTCCCACATACAGCAACTAGAAGGATGTGCAACTATGACGTACAACTATCTACTGGGGCTTTGGGGGGGAAAAAAAAAAAGAAACTTCTCCCCAGTCCCTGTCACCCCCCGCACCAGCCTGGCCCCTCACTCTCGGCAGGGGACTTTGCCTCTTCCCTCGCTGGACGCACCCAGAACTTCCTGCCCACCCCCCCCCAACACACACCTGTTCTACCTCCTTCACTCCGGGTGGTGGAGGAGGCAAGGGTGACGCCTCCCATCCAAGGCAAAGGCCTCCACTTGCTTGAGATCCAAGACGGCCCAGGAGGCAGAGCGTGGGTGGTGGAACCGTATGGGCCCGGATTTGAATCCTGCCTCTGCCACTTATCAACCGCGACCATTTATTTATCAAGGAAAACGAATGGAGTAGCTACCATGTGCCAGAGACAGTGCTCAGGGACAGACACGGCGCAAAGTAAAATAAACTAGAAGCTACTCAAAGAAGGGACGAACGGAAGGCAAATGCTGAGGGTGCGGGGAGGAGAGCTTGATGAGCCCTGTTACTCCCCATGGGCAAAGCACGGATAACAATTAAATGAGACATTGTGTGTACAATGAGGAGCAGGGAATGAAACTGGACCCCAACATCTTTGAAGCTTATAGGGTTACAAATGGGCAGGGGAGGCCATTTTTTAGCAAGAATTATTTCCTCTAGACCAGCGGTTCTTAACAGAGATGGGGGGCTGGCCCGGTGGCGCAAGCAGTTAAGTGCGCGCACTCCGCTGTGGCGGCCCAGGGTTCACGGGTTTGGATCCTGGGCACGCACAGATGCACCGCTTGGCAAGCCATGCTGTGGCGGCGTCCCATATAACGTGGAGGAAGATGGGCACAGACGTTAGCCCAGGGCCAGTCTTCCTCAGCAAAAAGAGGAGGATTGGCAGATGTTAGCTCAGGGCCGATCTTCCTCACAAAAAAAAAAAAAAAACAGAGATGGGGAGGTATTTTTATACCACCACCACCCCCCACACACACACGTTTGGCAATTTCTGGAAACATTTCTTCGTTGTCACAAGGCAGGGTGGGGAGTGTGCTAATGAAATCTACTGTTTGGGGAGAAAGCTCTTAAACTCAAAAAGAAAGGAAAGGTCTGTGTCTGGAACAGGGCAGGGGTTAAGATAAAGAGAAGCTACACTGCCTTAAGTGTGAGATAAACGGTGGCCTCATGGGAAGACCGCTTTCTCTGTGGTGCCTCCTTCAGGGCAAGCATTTCTTCTCAGGGGCCTGAGTTGCAGGACTCCTGGGAGAATGTCCCTATGAGGTGAAGGAGGGTGAGGCAGCCCCTCAACCAGGAGGGGTCTGTGCGGGGAGGCAGGGAGACTGGCAGGAGGGGTAGTGAGGCAGGCAGCCACTTAGGGACAGGTGATGACCAGGAGAGAAGTGGAGCCAGGTACCCTTCCAAAAACACTGGGAGGGGCACCTGGCTGTTCGGTGAGAGAGCAGGATGGGGCTTGGCCTGCCTCAGACGTGGCCACACTCTTGCTGCAGACCCGGCCCTGCCCCACCTCAAGCCCAGATCCCCTCAGAGGGTGGGGATGAGGTGTGGGGACTGCCACTGGAAGGACTGTTATAAGACTCATGATCATCACACCCCCGGAACCCTGACCCCCTCCAGAAGCTGGGCCACTGACCCCAGACAGGAGAATGACGGGTCAGTCAAGTCTAGAGAAATTGAACAGGCCAGACTTGGGGACTTGGGGAAAGCAGTCCCCCTGCCTCAGCATCTGCTTTCCCTGGGGGCTTGGGGGAACCCAGCAGGCCAACCTAGAGCTGAAAAGAGGGGATGAGGCAAGTAGGCAGCAGACATGATCAGACCCCTGGCCCCTCACCCCTACTCCAAACCCTGAATTCAGACAGCCAGGGCTTCTCTGCCCAGGCTGAGGAGCAGAGGATTCTTGTCTGGAGAAGCTGACATCTGGGGCAATAACATCCAAAAGCCAATCCCACCAATTATAAGGCTGCTTGGCCCAGACTTTCCAGTAGGCCTTTAAGCAAACTTGCTCTTAAATATGATCACACAGACAGCCAGGGACCATCTGGCATTTGAGAAAAACCCCCATGAGAAGAAGATTCCCCCATTAAACAGAAAAAGGGAACCTGGAGAGAGCCAAGATTATGCAGAAAAAGAATAAAACATTTTTAAAAGAGATAATATTCTGTGATAATAATACTTATTAGAGTACTTAACATGCCAGGCCCTGTCCTACGGATTCTCATATTCCAGATACAGATATAAAGAACAAAGTGCACTCATAAACCAGGAATGAGATGTTTTAGGGAAAAAAAGAACATTCAGAGAACAATACAGAGTACTAGGAAATTAATCATACGATTACACAAAAAAAGAAAAGTCAATAGAAGGATTTAATGATAAAGTTAAGAAAAGCTCCCAAAAATCAGAGGGAAAAAAAAAGAAATGCAAAAAGTGTAGGGAGAGATAAAAGCTTAGAAGAGGAATGATCCAGGAAGTCCAATATCTGACTTAAAAAAAGCCCAGGAAAGGGAAACAGAACATGGAGGGATCATATGAGAGAATTTCCTAGAACTGAAAGACAGAGTCTCAAAAAAATAAAAAAGACCTACATTCCAGGAAGCACATCACTGTGAAATTTCAGAATTGCAGGAATAAAAGAGAAGATCCTAAACATTTCTGGAGAGGGAATAAAGATCACATGCAAAGTTAGAAGAATTCAGGTTCTCACAGCTACAGTAGATGCTAGAAAACAGGAGTGTAATGCCTTCAAAATTCTGAGAGGGAAGATTATATCCATGCAACTCTTTCTTAGGAAATTTCTAGAGGACAAGCTCCGGTTAAATAAGGGAGGATACAAGAGAGAAAAAGCCGGATCAAGGAAACAGGAAAGAAGCACAGCAAGTTCCAGGAGACAGCTGGGAGCTGGCCAGTAGACAGGTCTGTCCTGCAGGGGACGGGTTTCCAGGAAAGGGAGGGACTGAGCACTTACCTGATATGTCTGAGCATTTAGGGAAAAACTCACAATAGGAGGATCGGATGGAGTGGTTATAGAACATTCAGGATAAATGTATAGCAAATTAGGCAAATGAAAAACAAGACAATTATTAACTCCAGAAAGGGAATGTGATCTTACAATGTACAACTTGTCTCTGCAATGAACACTATTACTGTTACAATAATGTAAATATTGATCATTGATTTAGCCAAATATTGTGATAGAATGATAAGAGGAAGATGAGGGAAGGGAGGTGGGGCAGGGGTACAAGAAAGCTAAACTCTTATCTACCAATAGATGATGTTTAAAAGTAAAAAACACTGGCGGGCCGGCCCAGTGGTGTAAGCGGTTAAGTGCGCGTGCTCCGCTGCGGCGGCCCAGGGTTCGCCGGTTCAGATCCCGGGTGTGCACCAACATACTGCTTGGTAAGCCATGCTGTGGCGGCGTCCCATATAAAGTGGAGAAAGATGGGCACAGATGTTAGCCCAGGGCCAGTCTTCCTCAGCAAAGAAAAAAAAAAAGAGGAGGATTGGCAGATGTTAGCTCAGGGCCCATCTTCCTCACAAAAAATACATAAATAAATAAATAAAAGTAAAAAAGCGTGAATTTTGTACTATGTGAATTATATATCTCAATTTAATTTCAGTCTCTAAAAAATTGAAAAAAGTGATAAGCAAAGAAAGAGCAGTAACAGCATACTATTTAGAAATAAGGCAGTAAACACTAGAAGAAATGGTTAACCATCGTGAGCACCCTAAACGGCTTGAGTAAAGGCAAGTCAAGTCTTGAGCAGGTTGCGGAAAAATACAGAAAAGGGGCTGTGTTAGAGCTGACGGGGAGAAACCCCGAGTGGACTCAGTGGCAACAAGAAATCAAAGTGGAAGAGGCCGAGAGAACCTAAGGGGAAGGAAGTCACAGTGACCTTGGGGAGGGCCTGGCTGCTCATGGCTGTGGAATGGGAGCCTGAGCCATTTTTATGAGATTCTCAGGGGTCACAGTGACCCAGAAGGCCAAAGGCATTCAGTTACACGGGGTTGCTCTCAGATAAGACCGCTGGTTCACTCTGACACCGCCCACCCCTACACTCACACGTGGACTCATGCACGCGTGTGCACACATGCCCCCACCCCCAACCTGGGCTGAAGCCTCACCTGGGCTTGAGGTAGCTGAGTGCTTCTGAGAACTGGTTGGTGAGGAAGAGGTCCAGGGCGGTCATGCACTGGTCCAGGGCCTCATGGAGGCTGCTCACAGGAGTCCTGATGGGAGAGATACAGGGTGTGACTCGGGAGCCCTCAACCCCCATCTTGGCCACAAGAGAGCCTCACAGAGCCCACTCGACCTTCCTGGTGGGCCTTGGACGCCTGTCACGAGCTCCTCCAGGCTGCCCACTCCATACCGGGACACAGGGACAATGTGAACCCACCTCTAACGTTCCCGAAGGTAGGAGGAGAGCACAGTGGGGATGTCATCTGAGATTTGGTGGAGGGGGCTGGGGAGGGGCCAAGGACAGGGGGGCAAAGAAGCCTGAGGAATAAATTATCTTACCCCCTACAAGGGTAAAGGGAGCCTTTGTGGCCCCTCTGACCCATTGGGCTTTCTGCCCCCCTAGGTGGGGCACAGCCCACCCACTAGGTCCCACTTCAACTCTTTTCTTCCTCTTTCTTCCCACCTTCTCCTGCCCTCCTCAGGCCTGCACTCTAGAACCCCAGAGACACTGTCACAATGGGCTATGGTGGCAGCAGACCTATAAGAGCTTCCCAGGGCCTTTTGTGCTCAAGGGTCACCTTCCCAACAGCACCTCCAGTACACCCCCCCCTTCCAGTCCTTACACTTACAACTCTTATCACTCTCTGACATGTGTTTTTTTACTTATTTTTGTATTTATTGTCTGTCTCCCTCCACTAAAATGGAAGCTTCCTGAGAGCAGGAATCTTTGTGTAGTTCACTGTTGTATCCCCAGTATCTAGCATCTGCTACAAAGTGGGCTTTTGATAAATATGTTAAGTGACTAAGTGAATGAATGAGTGAATGAATGAAGAGTGTAAAGCTAGGAGACCAAATCCCTGACCTTTCTGGGCCTCAGCTTCCCAATCAGAAAAACGAGAGATGAAAGTAGGAGATCCCAAAAGTCCTAGCTGATGGTCTTGAGAATGTCTCTTCTCAAGAGGTCTCTTTTGAGTGAGAGCAGGTTCCAAAAAAGGGCCTCAAGGATCTCAGTGAAAGGAGACCTTTTTCCCCAAGTTAGTTAAGAGCAAGTTCCTTCTCCGCCAGGTGAACGCCTACACGTACCTTAAGGCCCAGCTCTAACGTCTCCTCCTCTGATGCATCAGCAGATCTTCCCAGGCAAACTGAAATGTGTCCTGTTCAAACCTGAACTCCTGTTCGTTCTCCCAAATCTGGTCTTCCCCAATCTTTGCCACCTTAATAAATGACACCCCTTTACCCAGTTTCTCAAGCCAGAAATCTGATAGCCATCCTTGACACATCTCACTCCCTGGCCTCCCTTGCCTACTCCATCACTAAGCCCTATCAGTTCTACCTCCTGAATATCTCTAAATCCACCACCTTCCACGCTCAGTGCCCTCCGGTGCAGCCCACTACCATTTGTACCCAGGTCTGATGGAAGACCTCCTCATTCTCACCCCCCTCATCCCTGCTCTCTCTCCGTTAGACCAAGTTACCCTGTGTTTCATGTCTTTTAACTCTCCTTTGCCATCTCTTTCACACTCCCTGTTAGATTCTGAGTAACTTCTTTAGATCTTTCACTTCACTAATTCTCTTTAGGGTGTCTGATCTGCTACTTATCCTGTTTACTGATTTTTTTTTGGTGAGGAAGACCAGCCCTGAGCTAACATCTGTTGCCAGTCCTCCTCTCTTTGCTGAGGAAGATTGGCTCCAGGCTAACATCTGTGCCCATCTTCCTCTACTTTTTATATGTGGGATGCCTGCCACAGCCTGGCTTCATAAGCAGTGCGTAGGTCCACACCTGGGATCCAACCCTGCAAACCCCGGGCCGCCAAAGCAGTGTGTGCAAACTTAACCACTACGCCACCGGGCCAGCCCCTCTACCGAGTTTTTAATTTCAGTGATTATATTTTCATTTCCAGAAATTGCACTTGGTTCTTTTTCAAATCTGCTTGGTCATTTTGGGCAGTACTTTGTTCCCTGCTTATTGTTTCAAGTCCATCTTTGATTTCTTTACACATTTTTTTTTTTTTAAGATTTTATTTATTTATTTTTTCCCCCCAAAGCCCCAGTAGATAGTTGCGTGTCATAGCTGCACATCCCTCTAGTTGCTGTATGTGGGACGCGGCCTCAGCATGGCCGGAGAAGCAGCGCGTCGGTGCGAGCCCGGGATCCAAACCCGGGCTGCCAGCAGGGGAGCGCGCGCACTCAACCACCAAGCCACGGGGCCGGCCCTCTTTACACATTTTAAACACAATTATTTATATTCTATATCTCATAATTCTAGCACCTTACACTCTCAGAGAAACTAATTCTGCTCTTTCTTCTTTCCAGCGTCTATTGCTCACAATGACTTGTTTCTCTCTGTGTTTTGTAATCTTACCATGAGCTCCTATTTGACTGATCCCAAAGGGATCTTAGGATGAGGATCTATTCCTCCAGAGAGGATTTGCATTTACTTCAGCCAGGTTCCCTGGGGCACTACCACCTTGAGACACTTAAGTTCCTTTTTTAGTTTAGTATTTCCAGGACCACAAAGGGAGTATGTATTCAAACACAAAATCTGTGGTGAGGGCCGATCAATATGTATAATTTTCTAGGGAGCCTTTTTTCCCCCCACCACCACTGTCATCTGTCTTTGCAGGCGGGTAGATATTTTTTTCTGGTCAGTGCCCCTTCTTGCTGAGGGTGTGGTCCTTGAAGGTCCTAGATTCATGTGGTGGTGGTAGGAGGGCTCAGTTCCAGCTCTTCACGCTGTCACTGGGTAGGCCCAACACCTTCTTTCTCATCCCTTGAGTGGCTGTTAAAACTCAAGGTTCTGGGTTTCTGGAATCTGTAAATACTCCCAGGTTCCTGTGGCTTCCTCTTGTTTTCCACCCTGATTTCAGCTCCCTCCTTATTCTTGGCTTGAGAGGAGTTCTGTTACCTCTGTGGGAGCTCAGGAATGTATTTTAAAGGATGTTTGCTGTAAACCATCCAGCCTCTGGGTAGTTTTTATAAGGGAGGATGTTGGAAGCATTATTCCCTCTAATCCGTCTGTCTCATTATAGCTAAAGTTAAAAACCCAAATCTGACCATGTCGCTTCAGGACCTGAAATCCTTCACTGCCTTCCTATTACTCTTAGCATAAAGACCAAGCTCCTTTCCATGGCCAAAAAAGGCCCGAACGCAAGCAGCCTCTGTCCCTCTCTTCATGAGGCGGGGACAGTGTTTTCCTTCGTGCCCAGGGCTTCACCTAGTAACTGCTGCTCAGTCCACTCATCTCTGTTGGATGAATCAATGAAGAGGCAGTGAGTACCTACTGCCCCAGACATATAACTGCATTCTCTCCTTGAGCCCTCACAAAGCCCTGTGAGGAGGGCTTATCACCCTGAATGCAGATGTGGAGACTGAGGCACAGAGGAGGGGTGACTTTGCCAAGATCACACGCCCAAACACGGGTTCTAACCTGTTTCTGACTGAGCCAGTGCCCACCAGCTCAGCCCCAGAGAGTCAAGTCCATTGTCCTGGATTGTGTCCGTCTCTAAACAATTCCAGAGTCAAGAGCCTGCCTCTCATTTCTGCACACACCCCACCACCATCTGCACCCCCCAAGGAAGAGGTTTTGCCCTCTTGGTCTACCTGGAGAGACAGACGGACAGACAGCCAAGAGCCTTATTCCCTCCCCTGGCAGCCCCAGTACCTCTTCTGCTTAACTGTAGTGAGGGGGTCTGAGGTGACCTCTCCAGACAGGGAGCTGCTTCAGGCTGGCCCTGGGGCTGATTTCTTGCCTCCTTCCCTTTCACAAACACCCACTAATCTCTGGCTCTGGGCCAGGCCTGGGGCTGAGCTCTAGGGACACAGAGCTGACCCAGACCTGGGCCTGCCCTTAAGGAACTCATGGTCTAGAGAAGTGACAGATACAGGCAGAGGCAGTGACAGCCAGAGCCATCAGGGCTGCGATCACGGAAATGACTGGGTGTGAGGAGGTCCAGAAGTGGGGGTGGGGCACTCAAGGAAGCTTTCTAGAAAAGATGGCACTGATTTGAGGACAAGACGGAGAAAAAAGTCAAAGAAGGGGAAAGAGTGCGAGCAAAGTGCTGAAGGCATGATACCATAGTGAGGAGGAGGCACAAGGCAGGGCAGGAAGACAGAGGCTCTGGAAGGCCCGCTAAGTGGAAAGGTGAGGCAGGGGCATCCTGGCCAGCTGGGGAGCTCCAGAAGACAGGAGACACTGGCCCTACTTGACTTAATAACAGCATTTACAACTACCCCATCACCACCATAAGAATATCGCTTCAAGTTATCTAAATTGATGACTGCATTATGTCACTCAGTCCTCCCACCAGCCCTGGGAGGCAGACGCTCTTATCTGCATTTGACAGATAAGGAAGTGAAGACAGTGAAGACAGGAATCTAGTCTCCCCCTCCTAGGAGCCTGAGAGAAGACAGAAATGCCTTCTGCAAAAGCAACCTCACCAAACCTTTCTCCTCCCCTGGCTGTGACTGACGTCCCTACTTCTCTGCCAGCTGCCCCCGTGTCTTCAAGGTGTCTCTGCTCCAAGCTACCTTGCCAGGCCATGGCCAATATAAGCCTGAGCTCCCGAGGGGTGATGGTGGCCTCTCCACTGTGCCTTGAGGAAACTGAGGCGTGGGGAGCACTGAGCTGGATGGAACGTGGAGCAGGGCTGGTGACCAACGCCAGGAGCTTTGGCATAGTCGGGGAGGGGGGCTTGAGGCCCAAGTGAGAAGGGAGCTGGAGGGTGGGAGGGGGTGTCAGGCAGCGTGGAGCCACCCCACTCTCCTCTTCCTTCCCACCTCCCCGCTGTAGTCTGCCTGGAAGCTGCTACCTTAGCGCCTGATGGGCAGAGCTGGGTGGAGCTGGGGGACTCTCAGTGTCCTTCCTACCTTGACCGCAGTCAGGGTGAGGTGGCTGTGGGGCAGCGGAGGCAGGGCAAGGAAGTCACTTGGGGAGCAGACCGGAGTCAGAGCTGGCTTTTCCTCCCTGCTCCACCATTCGGGGGAAACTTTGGCTCAGAGGGTGAGGCAACCTGTCCATGGGGGCCTGTCACTTCCAAAGAGACCTTTGTAAATTGCAAATATGATTGTGACTCTGCTTCCAAAGAGTCCCCATTAGCTGCACATAAAGTGAGTATCACGTGGCCCGGAGTGGTGCGGCGCGGCCTTGGAGAGTTTTGAAAGCAGACAACCCTGGACTCAAGCTGCAGCTCAGCAATTACTTGCTGGAGAAACTTGGGAAGGTTCTTTAACCTTTATGAGCTTCAGTTTCCTCATCAGTGGAATGGGAACGACAGTACCTACCTCCCAGGGTTGTTGTGAAGAATAACCGAGACAATGTAAAGCACAATAAGAAGTACTCAGGAAATGGTAGCAATTGTTATTTTTTCCTAAGATGATGTATTTCATCAATTCTTTTCTCAAGTAGCACCACTTTCATAATGAAACTAAGTAACTTTAAAAGATTGAGGGCACCTATCCAATGACCCAACGATTCCACTCCTACAGGGCAACCTA